CTGAGTTGCAGAGTGGCTCAAGTGGTAGAGCACCTACCTAGCAAACGTGAAGCCCTGAGTTCTTTGAGAACGTCTTCCTAAGCATAAATATTAAGCACTGAAATCTGAAAAAAGACTGGCAGCTGGGAGTGCAGCTAAGAGGTAGAGCATGTATTTCAATATGCAAGCCTGGGCTCAATCCCAAGCACCAAGATAATAAAAAGTCTAAATGAGGCTGGAGATGTAGGTAGGTAGGTAGGTAGATGTAATGGTAGGGTGCTTGTCTAGTATGTACAAGGCCCTGGATTTGATCTGCAGCATCAAAAATAAAAAGATACTACCAAATGAAATGTAAAACTTTTACGTTAAAAACCATAATACAGGGCTGGAGGCATGACTCAAGTGGTAGAGTACCTGCTTAGCAAGTGTGAAGCCCTGAGTTCAAACCCCAGTACTGCCCCAAACCCCATAATATGTCATATTAAAATTGAGATATGTATAAGGTATAGCTGGTGAAAATTGAAGTTAGAAACCAGGACATGAGGACAATCTGGCTGTAACATCTGTCACCCTATTAATCACCAGGGTTGATGTGACTGAGCTGGCTGCCTAGGCAGATGTTCCCTTCCTCCCTCACCACTCCTTGTGTGTCCCTCTGGACACTGCATGCTCAGTGAAAGAGAATGACTTTCCCTGATGAAGGAGGACTGTTCTTTAAGTCAGGCATATACAAGTAGCTCCTATGCTCCCCTCCCAGAACCTCCAAACGAGCTCTCAAGTTAAAAACAGTGTATGTACTAGGATTGCAATTTTTAAAAGAAATGTAATTGATAGAGTGTGAATAGAAAAAAAGTTGTAGGAATATATATCAAATTCTCAACTTAAAAGGAAATATGGAGAAATTTTAGTATTTGTCATCAGAAAATTTTAATTTTTACATTGAACATAGATTCTTTCTTAATGTATACAAAAAGAAAATGAATTTGTACAAGAAAAAGACAAATTTAATTGGAACAAATATATGCAATTTATATAACTACATTACAAATTCTTCCAAATGAATAACAAGACAAACACCAACATAAAAACCAGACCATATATATGAAAAACAGTCCATATGACCAATAAGCATGAAAAAATTTTCCATGCTCATTGATAATCAATTGTCAAGTAAAACATTGACACAACCTTTTAAAATTCATCAAATTGGCATAGATATAAAACATAATAACTAGTAGGTCCCCGCTAGTGGTAGTGCAGGCCATCCAACACAGATGGGTATAACCTGTTGGAGGACAAGTTTCTAACCTATGTCAGAAACATTCAAAGTATATACACTGAATTCTACTGCTGGGAATTTATTTTAGAAAAATAATCATAAATCCCACAATTTATATAGTAAATAGATTTGTTACAGAGTTGTGAGATCAAAATTATAAACATCCTAATTATCTATCAGAAAGAAAAGGATTAAAATGAGTCTTGGTACATGCATACCCAATATTAGTATGTAGTATTTTTTTTTTTTCTTTTAGTGGGATTAGGGTTTGTACTCAGGGCTCCACACTTGCAAAGCAGATGCTCTACCACTTGAGCCACACCCCCAGTCCATTTTGCGCTGGTTATTTTGGAGATAGGATCTCAAGAACTATTTGCCTGGGATAGCCTTGATCCATGATCCTCCCAATCTCAGCCTCCCAAGTAGCTAGGATTACAGACATGAGCCACTGGTGCCCCACTATTTGTTTTGTTTTTTGCTTTGTTTTATTGTGGATACCAGATTTCCCTATGTTGCCCAGGCTGGCTCCAACCTTCTGAACTGAAGATCCTCCTGTCTCAGCCTCCCCAATAGCTAGGACTTAGAGGTGTATGTTTTCATGCCTGGCTTCACCCTGATTTTTAGTATGTAGCATTTTATACTGTAACGTACAGACTTAAGATGTTAAAGTAATCGTTTGTGCAATTTTTTACTCTTTTTTGGCAGTACTGTGGTTTGAACTCTCACACTTGCAAGGCAGGCACTTTGCTAGTTGAGCCACTGTGCCAGCCCACAGAATACTTTTTAATGCCTGCATAAATCCATGAATACACTTACATGTACAGAGTATGTAAGGAAAAAGACGGTTAAACCCTGGAGCAGCCATTCATACAAGTCCCTATTTAGGGCACAGTGATCCTGCTACCTTTTTGCACTCAAACTACCCTGGTTAAACACATCACTGGACAGGCAGTGCCTCTACAACCAGGCAAGCTAGAGGTGATGTTCTTGGAACAAGGGAGGATAAAACAAGAAAAAGTGGCATTAAAATAGGAAAAAGAATAAGAATTCCAAGAGCTGAATACAGTCTTAAGTGTTAACATGAAGAATAAACTGAGTTCTACTATATAGTAGGGTAATGACAAGTAACAATTATATATTTCAAAAAAGCTAGGAGAAAGGATATTGAATATTTCCACCACAAAGAAATGTATTTGAGTAGATATGTTTACCCTGATTTGAATATTATACATGTAAACATGTATGAATAAATACATTTATATGTTTTAAATTTAAAAATTTAAGAAAAAAAGCATTGAGCCCTGAAAAATCACTATAAAAGCTACCAATGATTTTACAAAAAGAAAGTTCATCTCTGTATTGTAGCCAGAAGTAGGTACAGAAAGTGAAAACATTAAGATCAAATATTTGCTAAGGCCAAGGACTATATAAGATGCTATTCTTTTATTTATTTATTTATTTTTGTCAGTGCTGGGGTTTGAACTCAGGGCCTCACACCATGGAGCTACTTGCATCAATTCATTCTAGAAATCACAGTGGGGAAAGAGGCCTCCCACGGTCACACAGCTCAGTGTTCATTCCACTATAGTCAAGAGTGAATGAGGATAGGGAAGCTGAAACAAGAGACAGGGAGTGCAAACAGTTCTTTTGGAAGCATGGTGGGGAAAGAAGAAGGGGAAAAAGCAATAGATGATAAAAGTAATAGGACAGGGAACCACTGCTTTCATAACAAAAACAAGGCTGCTCCTCCAAGGTTGCACTGAAAAAGAGACCCCAAATGGCTGCAGGGGCTATCCAACCTTGCAGTAGTGAATTCCCAACCCTCTGCCTGCCCAAAGTTATCTTTTCCCTCAGAATCTCTTACTGACGATTTTAGTTCCATCAAAGCCTGTTCAGGTCATTTCATCCATTCATATATGAGGAAGAAATATGACATGACAAAAGGCATTTCTTAACATCCACAGCACAAGTGAAAAGATGGAAAATAGAAAAGACATTCGTAGGTTTTTTTGCTTGGTGGCACTGGGGTTTGAACTCACAATTCCTTGCACTTGCTAGGCAGGTGCTCTGCCACTTGAGCTATACCCTTTGGACTTATCTAAAAAGGCAAGACCAGCCAGGCACTGTGGTACATGCCTGTAATCTCAGCTTCTCAGGAGGCTGAGGCAGGAGGCCCTCGAGTTTGAGGTCAACCTGGGCAAAACAGTGAGATCCATTGCAAATAAATAGTGATGTACATAAGAAAACAAATCAAGGCAAGGGCAATGTCCTACAATCTTTCAAGGTCACAGTTTAAAAATACAGAATCCTAAAGGACTTGGATGCAGAAGGACTGTACTGGGGGGGTCTGGGAATAGATATTTTAAAGTAATGACAATTATCCTTAAATTCCTGCAAATTCAGTCTCACTGCACTGAAAAGTAACAAAGAGAAATAAACACAGCAGCATAAATACCTGCAGTCTGGCTCACGAGAAAAGGCCTTCTTTTAACTCCATAACATGAGTTATAAGAAAAGCATGCTAGCCATGCTTATCTTCTCAGAAAAATCTAGACCCAAAAGCCTGACGGGAAGTCCTTTACTAAATTATAAGACAGAGAAAGAGGGAGAGGAAGTCGTCTTTTTTGTTTTTGTGTATTTGTTTTTTTAGTGGCACTGGGGTTTGAACTCCAAGTCTCATACTTGCTAGGCAGGCGCTCTTATCATTTGAGCCACTCCACCAGTCCTTTTTTTTTATAGGTTTTTTTCAAGATAGGGCCTCGCAAACTATTTGTCCTGGCTGGCTTTGAACCACAATTCTCTTGATCTCTGCCTCCTAATGTTTTTGTTTTCTGAGACAGGGTTTTGCTGTAGCCTAGGCTGGCCTCAACTCATGATCTTGCATGTTCTGGGACCCGGCCTTCACTTCCCATGTTCTGGGATTATAGATGTGGACCATCATGCCTGGCATTCCTTCCATCCTAGATACTTTTTCAAAGACCAGGTTATTAGTGCTTAACTAGCATACTAATTAGAGGACAGTAATACATCTACAGCACTGACAAGATCTGGTTTTGCCCACCCATGTGTTTCTTCCTTGTTCCTCTAGCTGTAGGTATCATCACATGGAAGCCAGCTTTTAGTCCTAGGGAGGTGACCATATGTCCAGGTCTACCTGGGCAGAGTCCTAATGTACTCTTCTGAGCCCAGACACCACCCAACACCACCTCAGTCTGGCATCTGTCATTCACTTCCGATTTGGATGACACATTATATGATCACTCTGTTTGTGAAACAACAGAGCTACAGCAAAAACACAACTCCACAAAAGCAAGAAGTGGTCTGCCAGCAATTTACATAACACCTTCCATTCACCCAACAAATCACTATGACACCACACACATTATTTCAATCAATCCTCACAGCAAGCCCACCAGGCAGTTTGGAGGACTTGACTTATGCCAGTAAGCAAAGTAACAAAATGATCAGGGTCATACAACTGTGAGAAGCAGAGCTTGACTCAAAGGTGCCTTTCTACATAACCCCAATTCCTGCTGTGAATGGGCCTCCCTGCCTTCTCAGGGCATGTGGACACCCCACCCACCAGTTTCTGTATGTGTTAAGAGCTAGAAGTTCACCAAGAAAGGTGGTCAGTTTCAAGAAAGAAATAGTTTAGATATTCATATTTTTTCATCTTAAATTTGAAAGCAGAAATCAGCTTTCTGCAGATGTGTGTCTAATTCAGTTCTTGTTTCTGTAACCTAGTTTGAAGGAAGAAAGACTTCCAAAAGAATCAACCAAGTCTACTGAGGCACAGTTTGACTCAAAAGGATCCAACTGCTTAGCAAATGGAAAATAACACTGTGGAGTAAGTTCTGCATCACAAATTGCAAAGTTATCCAAGTCGTTCCTAAGGAAGTTAAAGATTTAAGTGCAAAACAGAGAATAAATAAATAGGTGACTCAAAAGCTTTGCTTTATATTTGCATAGCCTTAATCTTCTAAACCAGTTGGTCTCCCAGAAAAGGTAACTTAAAAGTCATAGCCTTTGCAATTTTCTTTTTCATTTTAATTTTTAATTCCAAAAGCACTTTTTTTTTTAATTTTTATTGTTTTATTATTCATATGTGCATACAATGCTTGGGTCATTTCTCCCCCCTGCCCCCACCCCCTCCCTTGCCACCCACTCCACCCCCTCCCTCCCCCCCACCCCCTCAATACCCAGCAGAAACTATTTTGCCCTTATCTCTAATTTTGTTGTAGAGAGAGTATAAGCAATAATAGGAAGGAACAAGGGTTTTTGCTGGTTGAGATAAGGATAGCTATACTGGGCATTGACTCACATTGATTTCCTGTGCGTGGGTGTTACCTTCTAGGTTAATTCTTCTTGAACTAACCTTTTCTCTAGTACCTGTTCCCCTTTTCCTATTGGCCTCAGTTGCTTTTAAGGTATCTGCTTTAGTTTCTCTGCGTTGAGGGCAACAAATACTAGCTAATTTTTTAGGTGTCTTACCTATCCTCAACACCTCCCTTGTGTGCTCTAGCAAAAGCACTTTTTTTAATGCATTCTCTTTGAAAACAAAAGCCTTTGTGTGATACAACGGCTTAAATGGTCATTTATCAATACCCCAATCTCAGCCCTGAGCCCTGTACACTGTCAGGTGTTTTTCTATCTAGGAGATTTTTTTACTCTCTGCCTTTTCCAACAAAGCATCCAGTAGAAGAATATTTCCCTTCTTCTCTGTCAACTCCATCCTAGAAAAGCTATTAACCTCTAAGAGACAGGAAGTCCAAGGGGACTGTAGCAGCTCCTCTCCTGCTTCTTCTCTCATCCTGCTAGTGCCTAAGAACAAGGGCTCTAGGGTGAGACATCTGCACGAGAATCTTGCTAGCTGAGTGAGCAGGGGCAAGTTCACTCACCAAGCTTCATGTGGCCACACCTGCCCTCAGACACAAATGCATGGATGCACTGCTCATATTCCTCCCCCTAGCTTCCCACCAGCTCAGTCAAAGTGCTGGGGGACCTGTACGTTCCTCCCTGGTCTGCCCTTTTCCCAGGCCATGCCAGACCACTCTGATTTACGCTTACTCCCTACCTTCCTCTTTCTGCTCTAGCCACCTTGATCTCCTTGCTGTTCCTCAAACAAGCCAAGCAAACTGTTCCTAAGGACCTTTGCACTTCCTGTCCCTCTGCCTGGAATATTCTTCCTCTAGCATCCACTCAGCTCACTCCCTCTCCTTCAGGTTTCTGCTCAAATGTCACCTTCTTGGAAAGGCCTTCCTGACAGTCCTATTACAACAGTACCCCTCACTGCTACCTGACACTCCCTAGTCTCCCTTCCTACTTCATTTTCCTCGGTGGAGGAAATTTCCTAAGTGGCAATATCATGTATTGCCACCTGACGTACTATGAATTTCTTTGATTAGTTTCATCCCACTAGAAAGTAGGCTCTACACAGGAGCAATATGCCAGCATCCAGAAGAGAGCCTGGCACATAGTAGGCCCTCAAAAAACATCTGCCAAGTGAATAAAGTGTTCCCACTCAGCAATCCTGAGTCAGATCCTGAAGGGAAAGTCCTGGAAAGAACTTTGGGTTTCATTTTACATATGAAGTGATGCCCTTGGGGAGTACATAATTTATTTACAGTTTTAAAAAAATCATTCTGGACATTACATGGTGAGGGAAGATTCTACTGAGGGTAAGAGTGGTATCACAGGCAGTTTGGGGGACAATGCAACTTTCAAAGGACAAAGAATGAGCTAGAGTGAAAAAATCTAGATTTTGAAAATCTATTTTGGAGCTATAGCTGACAGAGCTTAATAAGCTGGACATGGGGTCTAAGAGGAATTGAGGATAACTTCCAGGTTTGGGGCATCAATACCTATATTTCTCAACAGTTTTCTCTTCAATGAGTGCTGTGAGAAAGGAGGTAGACAACCTAAAGAGCTCACACAGCACCAGGCACATGTAAACCCTCTATAAACTTTAGTTCTTAGTAATGCCCCAAAGAGAAATCGGTTTGCCCTGCTTTGTTGTTAAACAAGATTACAAAACTATCCATCCCACAATGGCTGAGGGTAAAACAACTTTTTGTAGCGTGTGCCCTCCCCTCCAGAGGGATAGACTTTTCCTTTATTTAACAGAATACTTAACAGTAATTTTGAAACATCTTACTTGCACACAGATAAATAAAAGGATTCCTCACATTTCAAAAGAATTTTAAGGCTCTTTTGGGTCATTCAATACTTATCAGGAGTAACTAAAAGCTGAAATGACAAACTTTTACTGATTAAAAACCAATCAAAACATAGATAAAGTATATTTGAAATCATGATTTTTTTTAAAACAGGCATTGACTGCATTTGAATACACCAGAAACTAAAATACCACACTATCCAGTTCAATACAGGACACCTGGCAACCCCATTTGTAAGTGTAACTCAGCTTTCTGCGAAGCCAACACCCAGCCCTTCTTGGCTGCATTAGTCTGTCCTTATTTCCCCCTGAAAAACCACTTTAAGCTTACAGATAACATTCGCCTCTATTACAATCAACAGCTTCTTTCAATAAGTCATCTGGTTTGCAAGGGCTTGACTGGAGTAACCCTGTATCTCCTTTCACAACCTCCCAATGGTTGCCTCCAGATAGCTGGTGAAAAGCTGCCTGTAGGGAATGTTAAGTAGGGAATGTTAGTAGCTGTCTCTGGACACTTTTTTGTCTCAGGACTGTTTTGCTAGCATTTTCCTCTGCCTTACTCGACTTCCCTAACTACTGGCAATCTCAACTAAAAACCAGCCATTTTTCTTCCCAACCCACTAACTCCTCCTTGAATCCTTTTACTACCTGGGAACCAAAAAGGCAAATGTGAATTTGAACTAGAGCTGGAAGGACTTCTAAAGAATTTGCCCCATGGTTGAGTCTCTGGTAACAGCCTCTATTATTCAGCTCTAGCTCTTCTGAGGTCTGGAAGACACCCTGCTTCTAAAAGGGGAGTCTGAAACCCAGCAGCCTCCCAAAGGAGCTTGCTGGAAATGCAGTGTAAGACAGAACTCTGGCCCTAATGAATCAGAATCTTGACAAGATTTTAACAAGATTCCCAGATGACTGCCAGGCAGAAGCAAGTTTGAAAGGCCAGATAAGTGCTCAGGCCCTTTTCTTCCTGTTGGCTGGGGAGAATTCTTATAACTAGTTCTGCTTAAGAGTCCTTAATCTGATCTCACTTCATTGTCCTCACTTTCCAAAGAATCCTGAGCTGCTTCCTTCCACCACCCCCTCTAAACTGATCCTTGGAAGACAGTGTCTCTTTTCTGGGCCCCTTTTCCTTCCTAAAGGCCACTCATGATTACTCTGCCCTCTCTTGACAGTGGCATTTCTTTAAGAGTTTTTTTGTTTTTTGTCTTTTGTTTTTGTTTTTGTTTTTTTTTGCTGTGCTTCTCCCCAAATGGAGCCTCTAATATCAACCAAAGCTGCCTCTGGCACCCCTCTCAGAGCTGCTTCAACCTGTCAGGGAGAGCCTCCCAGCTGAGCCTGACCCTCCTATCCCTAGTCCTCAGATGGGCCTGAATGGGCTTCTGGTGGGCCAGAGTCTGCCCTTTCTCATGGCTTACCCTGAACTCAGGTTCTCCACATGTATGAACTGACTATCCTTTTCCTTCTTTCCTGCCAACTGCTCCCTACCCACCTAGCAGACAACCAGATACAAGCCAACCAAAGCTGCCTTCAAAGGGAAGACACCTAGGGAGGGAAGATGATGCTGATTAAGAAATAGCCTTGAAGGATGGCAAAGTGGTTCAAATGGTAGAGTGCTTGCCTAGCAAGTATGAAGCTTGGGGTTCAAACCCTAGCACCACCGTCACCAAGAAGAAACAACCTCAACGAGGGTCAAGCTTGCTCTGAGGCTAGGAGGTGAGAGCTGGTGTGGGGAATACATTAAAAATGCTTTAAAACTTGCTACTTTGAGTTTGGGGATTTGAATTTACTGTCTTTTAAAACTTTACAAAGTGAGAAAGATGTCAGTTTTTCTGGACTGTGGAAATGAGAGCCTTATCTAGAATCATAACTTAATGCTTTTTCTCTCTCAATTTAGTGGCTAGATCGATTAACCACACATATTTTTCTTAATCCTTATCATTTATTACACAATTGATTTTCCCCAAAAGAGCCAATTTCCAGTCTCTTAAAAAGCACCCTTGGAATGCTGTCCACATTCACTATTAAAATAGCGTTGCTACTGGAGGAGGGATGAGGGGCTCCCACAGCGTTCCAGTATCCACGCAAAATCACAGGTCCTTGAGGTTCACCTGGCAAACTCTTCTTCAGGTTTGACTTTCGCGATGTCGTGGCTCAGTATTCGCTAAGCTAGTTCCGGACTGTTCTTGTACCTTTTGGACGTACCGTACTGCGGACTTGTTCTGTGCAACTGAAAATATCCTAATGCGTTGTGCATGTTTAAATTTCAATTTCTGGACAGTTTCAGTCCGGCGGGTTTATCGACAAGGTAACAAGTGAGGGGCAAAGCAAACGCAGCAACTGGTGCGCGCGCGCCCTCTGCCGGCCGTCCACGCGCACGGGCGCCGGCATGGCCCTGGCACCTCTTGGTCTGGATGTGCGCGAGCAAAACTTGCGCTTTGCCTTCCTTTCCGCCCGTTCCAATAGATCAAGCAATGGGCTTTTAGCGCTTTTAGGAGATAATGCACAGTGCTTCGGCCTGGACAAAGACAAAGACAAATGAAAGCGTCCCAGCCATAAAGGATCTCACAGAATAATGGGGCATGCATCAGAGCGTCCGGATGCCACTTGAGAGGTTAACACTGATCCTGCCCCCTCAAGTCCCCACTAGTTTACCACCCCAAGTTTACGAAGAGCCCCAGTCACACAGCACAGCACACTGATCTTTTGTTAGGACTGGTGACTCATTCGAGCATTTTCTCTGTGCACGGCCAGTGGGTGCTACCTTGGAGACCGGGGGAGCCTGAGGAGGAAGACACCAGGGGCTATGGAGAAAGCTCAATTTCACCGGGAAAAGACGGAAATTAAGAACAGGGGAAGAGGGTATCGATTCGTTTTGATGTTCAATTAATAAGTGCATTTAAAACATACTACCAAGACTTCTGGAACTTTTTCTAACAAAGTTCTAGCTTATTTTCCCACTAGATCTTGTTGGATTTTTTAAAAATCCGGTCATGTTTTTCAAACTAGGCCAGGAGGTCCCCTCGATTTCTAAAGTGAAAAAAGTTTGCTCCTTTTCTGAAATTTTCTCAGGTTCTGGAAATACACAGCTTTTACTTAACTCTGTTTCCTCCAGCAATGATTCCTTTTTATTTTAGAGAAAATTCTGCTGGTAACATGCCCAGTATACTAGCTGGGAGGAAAAATAACTTGGAAAAGAAAAGCATGTTTTTCTTAATTTCTTTTCAAAACACTAGAGGGGACAAAATAAAGAAAGTAGAGAAATAAATTACCCAATGCAATCATCATTCTGGACCATAGCCTAAAGGAATATCCATCTTAACATCAGAAGGTGGAGGTAATTACCAATAAGGGCATCTGATGAATCCCCTCTAAAATGGTTCTTATGAAGAGGGCAGTTCAGAAAATCTATGCAAAACAAAAGGAGGGAGGAAGGGAGGGAGGGAAGGAAAAACAAAAGCCTCATGAGAGTAGAGAAGGCAAAAGACAAGAAGAAAGGAGAATGCTGGGGGAAAGAGAACTGGGAATCAAAAATGGACAGTCATGAGGCAGGTGTTTGCACAATCCTGAGAATCTTAAATTTCCAACTCAAATTTAGGAAATACTTATTTTTGAAAAAGGCAGGCAATGCAGAAGTGCATAAGCTAAAAAAGTACAAGCACACTTTTAAAGCCCACACACAACACATACCCACCACATACCCAGAAGCAGGAGATGACAGCATGAAGGTGGAAGAGGAAGGCTGAGAGCACCTAACACAAGCAACCAGCACATTGACCTGCCTGGAACCATATGGTTGGAATCAATGACTTAACAGGAAACCCTTAGACAGGCTTCCTGCTCTAAGAAATCCCTACCTATTTCTCAGCAAATGTGAGATTTATTACCAAAGAAAAACAAAGCTCCCCACCAAAGATACTTCCATATTTTACTTAATTGTCAAAATCAAAAGAATCTTTATTTTTATTAATGTCTGAAATGTTAATAATGTACCTATAGCAATTTTGAACAAAGCACATTAAGCTTTGTGACATAAACTTAATACAGGTGTTTGTATGAAACAAATCTACAGATGTCATTCTGAAGATCAAAACCAGTTGGGATGCAGTAGTAAAAGCTGACGAAGGGCTAGGGGTACAGCTCAGTGGTAGAACACTTGCTTGGCAAGCATAGGGCACTAGTTTCCATCCCTGGCACCACCAAAACCAAAAAAAAAAAAAAAAAATTAAACCAAGATTCACCCAGCTGTTTAATAGTGTTTCCTTGTGTTTTGTTTTGTGGTGCTGGGGATCTAAGCCAGGGCCTTACAAATACTAGAAAAGAGCTCTACTACTGAACTACATCCCCTAGCCCCCAGTTACATTTTATTTACAATTCTTTTGTCCTAATTCATGGAGGTAAGGGGTGGGAATGAGGAGGAAACTGAAGAGAGAGGAGCAGTAGACATGTCTTGTGTCTCATGATAAATTAAACTACATTGAATTTCCACAGGTATGTTAGAATTTCACAAATCTTGTGGAGAGGTTTAGACTTTTTTTTTTTTTTTTGTGGGACTAGGGTTTGAGCTCAGGGCTTCACAATTTGCCAAGCAGATATTGTACCGCTTGAGTCACATCTCTAGTTCAGACAGTATTTTTTGATACAGATTCAACATAAAATAGTCAATCCTGAAGCATGGTTAACATATACTACCTTATTATGTAAATAATAATAAATGGTATTTATGTAATCATCTAATGTATAATGTATTATGTAATATGGATGAATAAATATATGTAGCAAATAAAAATATCAGTATTTCTGTAACAATGAATACTATTTTTATAATGAGTAATAATTACTATTTATGGGTAAACTTCATACACTTACAAAAAGAGCTCTAATGTATTAGTTTATGAATACTACTTTATATACTAATTCCTTATGGCTTATTAAGATATCAGTTTGCTCTTACTCAGAATACAAACTAAATTCTAGCAATCTAAGGAATACTCGGTTCTCTTTGTATCACCCATATTGTCTCTTTGTTCCAAAGAGACTGGCTACTAGAATAAGCCAAGGATGGAAGCTTAACTGCTCCACAGGAGCAAAACGGTTCCCAGCATCTACGCAGGGCCTGGTTCATAGCAGGCCAAGATAAATATTTGAAAATGAATGAACAATCAGTAGATAAGCCAGAAAGTCAAAGTAGAAATTAACTACTCTTAAATGAATAAAATCCCCATAGATCATAATTCAGGAAACTGAATTAAGTATAAAATACTCTAACACCTACTAAGCAGAACACAGGTCTCAATCACAGTAGCGACCTCTTTTGCATTACTGGTGACCTATCATGGCATCACATTTCTAGATTTTTTTCAGCATTTTAATATGAAAATTTACAAACATATAGTAAAGCTGAAAGAATTTTAGAGTGAACACTATATACCTATCATCTAGACTGTACCATTAATATTTAACTATTCCTGGTTTATCATATGTCTATTCATTTCTCTATGCATTCATCAATCCACACTATTTTTGATGCATTTAAAAGTAAATTATAAGTCAGGCACCGGTGGCTCATGTCTGTAATACTAGCTTCTCAGGAGGCAGAGATTGGGAGGATCAAGATTCAAAACCAGCCCAGGCAAACAGTTCGAGAGATCCTATCTCGAAAATACCCAACACAGTGTGAGTGTAGTTTTGTTCTACTTATGCATCCCCTTTGATGAGACAACTACAGAACAACATCTGAGGCACCAACTCCAGGACTGGAGATTGAGACGGACATCCAAATTATTAAGACTGAAATTGCATTGCATATAAACTTGGAAGTTTTTTGGTTTTTTGGGTTTTTTTGTTTTTTTTAATTTTCTATTTTCCATTTTATTTTAATTCATTTTTATAAATAGATATTACTTTCATATACTTATTTTTTATTTTTTTTATCTTTGATTTTCAATCCTCTCTCTGTCACTCTATTGTCTGTTCAGCTTACTGTCGATTAGTACACTAACACTCCCTGTTTATACCTTTGAAACTCTCTTGTCTGATACCTTGTTCTGCTTTCTCCCTCTTGTCTGTATATTTGTTTTCCCCTTTTCTTTAACTTCTTGCTTTCCATCTCAGCTCACTCTTCCATTCTCAATATTACCATTGTTATTATTACAAGCTAGAAAATACTTAATTACACACAGTACAGGGACAGTAACAACACCAAGGACAATGACAGGAAGACAGAAAAAACAAGGAAACCAGTTTCCCCACAGCAAAAAATTAGTACAGGAACCAGAGGGGAATGAAGAGAACAGAAACTCAGAGCCAGACTCCAACAAAATGAAGATAAACTATGCCAAAGGACCCAATGAAGCCCACAAGAATAATTTAAAAGAAGACATACTACAAGTACTCAATGAGAATTTTATAGAGATGATACTGGATAGGGTCAACCAAAATGTACAGGAGACACTCAAGAAATTCCAAGACAATAAAAATAGAGAATTTGAAAAAGCAAAAGAAGAAATAAAGGAAACCATAGAAGCACTGTATAAACACCAAAGTGAAAGAGAGAACACAATGAATAAATGGATAAATGAACTCAGGACAAAAATAGACAACAATAAAGAAGAAAACAGCCAGGATATGGAAAACCTCAGAAAAAAGAACGAAACAGAACTGCAAAACAAAACGGAAGGCCAATCCAGCAGAATAGAACAAACAGAAGACAGAATCTCAGAACTTGAAGATGAAATGGTAATTAAAGGAAAAACTGAAGAACTATTAATTAAACAACTCAAGACCTGTGAAAAGAAAATGCAAGAACTCACTGACTCCATCAAAAGACCAAACTTGAGAATCATGGGCATCGAAGAAGGAGAAGAGGTGCAAGCGAAGGGAATGCGTAATATATTCAACAAAATAATAACGGAAAATTTCCCAAATCTAGAGAAAGATATTCCCATACAAATGCAAGAGGCCTCCAGGACACCAAACAGACCAGATCAAAATAGAACTACTCCACGACATATCATCATTAAAACAACAAGTTCAGAAACTAAGGAAAGAATATTGAAGGCTGAAGAGAGAAAAAACAAGTAACATACAAAGGTAAACCCATCAAAATCACAGCAGACTTCTCAACAGAAACATTAAAAGCAAGAAGAGCGTGGGGTGAGATCTTCCGGGCACTGAATGAAAATAACTTCAACCCCAGGATACTCTACCCAGCAAAGCTATCATTCAAAATAGATGGAGCAATAAAAGTCTTCCATGATAAGCAGAAACTAAAACAATATGTGACCACAAAGCCACCATTACAAAAGATTCTGCAAGGGATCCTGCACACAGAAAGTGACACCCAACTTAACCATGAAAAGGCAGGCAGCACCAAACCACAGGAAAGAAAAAGCAAGACAGTAGAGAGTAACATCAAGTTAGGTACACACAATCAAACCTTCAAACAACTAAGATAACTAAATGGCAGGAATCACCACATACCTATCAGTACTAACACTTAATGTTAATGGACTTAATTCACCCATCAAAAGACACCGTTTGACAAAATGGATTAAAAAAGAAGATCCAACAATTTGTTGCTTACAGGAGACTCATCTCACCGACAGAAATAAGCATATGCTTAGGATGAAAGGCTGGAAGAAGATTTACCAAGCCAATGGCCCCCGAAAACAAGCAGGAGTAGCAATACTTATCTCTGACAAAGTAGACTTCAAACCTACATTGATCAAACGAGATAAAGAAGGACATTCCATACTAATAAAAGGGGAAATAGACCAAAAGGAAATAATAATCATCAATCTGTACGCACCCAATGTCAACGCACCCAATTTCATCAAACATACCCTGAAAGACCTAAAAGCATATATAAACGCCAACACAGTGGTTGTGGGAGACTTTAACACTCCATTATCATCAATAGATAGGTCATCCAAACAAAAACTCAATAAAGAAATCCAAGATCTAAAATATGCAATAGATCAAGTGGACCTAATAGATGTCTACAGAACATTTCATCCAACTTCTACACAATATACATTCTTCTCAGCAGCCCATGGAACCTTCTCCAAAATAGATCATATCCTAGGGCACAAAGCAAGCCTCAGCAAATATAAGAAAATAGAAATAATACCGTGCATACTATCTGACCACAATGCAGTAAAAGTAGAACTCAACAACAAAAGTAAAGACAAAAAACATGCAAAGAGCTGGAAACTAAATAACTCATTACCTAATGAAGAGTGGATCATCGATGCAATAAAAGAGGAAATTAAAAAGTTCCTGAGAGTCAATGAAAATGAAAACACAACATACCGGGACCTATGGGACACAGCTAAGGCAGTCTTGAGAGGAAAGTTTATAGCCATGAGTGCATATATTAAAAAGATTGAAAGATCCCAAATCAATGACCTAATGATACATCTCAAACTCCTAGAAAAACAAGAACAAGCAAATCCCAAAACAAATAGAAGGAGAGAAATAATAAAAATAAGAGCCTGAAATCAACGAAATAGAAACCAAAAAAACCATACAAAGAATTAATGAAACAAAAAGTTGGTTCTTTGAAAAAATAAACAAGATCGATAGACCCCTGGCAAACCTGACTAAAATGAGGAGAGAAAAAACCCAAATTAGTAGAATCAGGAATGCAAAAGGGGAGATAACAACAAACACCATGGAAGTCCAGGAAATCATCAGAGA